TACACGCACGCAGGCACACACACACATATATACATATATATATATATATGCACACATAGGGATATGCATGCAAAGCATTGGTTTACGATATGTACATGTGTATACGCACCTGCATGTGTATAAGTGTGTGTGTATATATATATATATATATATATATACACACATATAGACAAACATGCAAACACTCACTCACACACACACACACACATACACATACGTACGTACGTACATAGAGAGAGAGAGAGAGAGAGAGAGAGAGAGAGAGAGAGAGAGAGAGAGAGAGAGAGAGAGAGAGAGAGGAAAGAGAGAGAGTGAGAGAGCGAGAGTGTGGGTTGTTGAAGACAACAAGGTGTCTTTTTGTCTCTCAGTTGCAGAGCCACTACAAAAAACAAGCTCGCAGAATGAAGGAGGCATTGTGATGACGCATTTTCTGCCAACCTGGCTCTCCTTCCGTTTCCCTCTCTGTCGTATTAATCTGGTCAAACTGCCCCCTTGCGAGAAAACTACTCAAGACAGGAAAAGGGGAACGAGGCAAATCGAGGAAAAGCAACGAATTTCATGGCGAGTCTGGCCTGCCACAGCCTCCGTCTCAGCCTCCGCTTTCGAGTCCACGAGTGTTTGGACCTCGAAGTTTGTCACTGAACGGATGTGCATCTGCACATGCAACGACATACGCAGACATTTAAGCTCCGTAGAAGTTGAACTGACAAGGGTAACGGTGGTTGTGATCGCCTACCGACTTGCCATCTCATCTTCCAGCGCTCGAACCCACGATCCCGAGCCTGCAGAAACCTGCAGGTCACTTTTCTATCCGAAAGACTGCAATCCGAGGCACGATGCTCACATCTTCGGCCCCGTCTGGACTGCTGTGGGAGCAGCAAGCACAAAACATCCTGGCTTGGCCTACGGATCTTCGGCGCCTTTGAGCTGAACACTGCGGCGACATATCCAGGGCAACGGCACGAACTCTGCACCACTGCAAGTCTCAGCCTTCTGCCACACTGGGCCAAGCACAAACTAGCTAACAGTGCCACTTCCCAACTGAAGGTGCCGCATGTGGCCAATGTCGACCCGGCCCAAGCCTTAACAATTGACCCTCCTGCCTTGGCTGCAAACGTCAAGAGAGTACAAGTTAAGGAAGCTCTACAACACAACTCAGCACCATGTCTGTGCTGGGCGGCAGATATGTTACCTGACCAACATTCCGGCAAAGAATGGAGCAGGAACAACACATTCCATGGCGGCTCTGTGCCTCCTACTGTTACGTAGAGTCGTAGGGCATCAGCCGATCATTAGTCCAAGCCAGCCGCTGCAGGCGCTGCAGGGCGAACATGGGGCCTCCTCCCACTTCTGCTCAGCTTCAGCCTGGGCCAAGGCCTCACGACCTGGGATTCAAAGTGTCCGATGACTTGGACTTGAAGGCCCGGTTTGTTTGAGCTTCGACCTCCAAAGGCAAGACCCGAATTCACCGAATCCCCTTGGCCCTGGACAGCCAGCTGCTGCCACCTCGCTTTCAGAGGCAAGAGCCTGCCACAACAACGCAGCACAGGGCTCTATTTTGCCTAGCACAGGGCTTGAGGACTTGAGGACATTAGTCTTAGCTTCTTACGCTCTCGCAACTCGGACTCCACTCAAGTCGCAGTGTCTCGGCATACAGAGGTGCTTTGACTGGAGGCTTGAGGATTAGCGTCATGACGTGGGCCCTACGATTCTAACGCAGCTGCTGCAAGCGATCAGGTGAGGAGGGGGCATCGCTCCTGTAAACAGTGCTGCACCGAGCTGTATTGACAAGCCACCGGGTGAGCGTCCTACTGCCCAAGTGGGCCCAATCAACCCCGTGCTAGGACCCTGGATCCAAGAAGCCCAGTACAGTCGGAGCTCAACACCATTGAATCTGCGCCTTAAGGCTGTTTCAGTCTCTAGCTCTGCCGGGCGCGAGCAAGGCCTGCAATGTCACGGCATCTCCCAAAGCACGAAGACATTCCGCAGGCGCAGGCTCCGGGACCTTCGGCCGAAAAATCGATCACGATCGCACAGCTCTAGCCCCTGCAGGCTGTCTAGTAGCCACGAACGAGCATGCTCTCCGGCAGAATCTGGCGGTCTAGCCTACCACGTAGGGCCTACCACCCATTAGCCCAACACACTTCCTGAGATCCTCTCAGAGTCTCAAAAGCTTGAAGTCACCAAAGCCCCAGCAACCAAGCTCAAACCGAGACAGAACGCCTCCACCTCAGCGTCGGCCTCCTTCGAGGCTTTCTTCCGCCGAACCAACCTGTTGCTAAGATCTGCTGGCGCAATCAATCGGCGTGATGTATCCACATGTTCCTTCATCCGGCCTCTGCCTTTGCCTTTGCAACTCCTGCAAAGGTGGTTGCTGTCGGTCTTCGAAAGGCAGCACGTTGAGATTGGCTCTTGCTGCAGCTAGTGCAGTCGGCAAGACTACGGCTTCTTATAATGGACAACAATCCCAGGAGTTGGAGCGAAAAAAACTTTGCGTGCCCTCGCCACCAGCACAATCTCAAGATCTTGGTGTGCGTGCACTGTAACCTCCGGGCATAAGTGCATAGTTAAAGCCAGAACGTCTCCTCGTCAAACTGCAGGGCCCTGCGAGCCGCCAAGGCCAGAGCAGTCCTTAAGCGAAAGCGGACGGTTTTCTTCGTGAGTATGTCAAACTTTTGGGACCGTTTTCCTCGACTTCAAGGGGCCTTTGGAGGCTGCAGAGGGAAGGAATGCCACGACATCCCTGTTCTGGCTGAAAGGATCACCATAACCATGCGGACCCATTGGCATGATGTCTCACTGAGCCTGCGGGAGAAAACCCACCTGCCCCTCTAAGCCCTCGACTGCTTCTCCGCGTCATCCACGGATGTGTCGAAGACCTTCCGCAAGGACGTCGCCGAAGCGGATGCGGGGGCCGGAGCAGCCTGCGCAAGCACCGACTTCGAACGGTTGCTGCCCCCAATCCCTCCAAGATCCTCCGTCCCCGCGCCGCCCACCTCCGCCAAGGTCTCCAAATCCGCTGCCAGCTCCTTCCTGAGGCCCAGGCTAAGGCGAACGGCTCCCTCTTTGGCGTCGGCATGTGCTGCTTCGCTTTTGCTGGCTTCGGAGTTCTGTCATAGTCTGGCCTGTCGTACCATGGCAGTGCCGGCGAGTTGCATAGGTATAAATGGGAAGTGCTGCTCTCAAGATTCACACCCCTGCTGCACTCCCGGTTTCGGGCTCATTGCCTTCTGGGCTACTACTGCTAGTCTGAGGCCGGTGCCACAAGTTGACAAGCTCCTGCCACGCGGCACCTGCAGGAACTGGCGACGCTAAGCCGAAGTGAAAAAGTGATACGCCACGTGTCATCATGGTTCGCTTCAGGGCTGGAAGCCAAAACGACATACAACTTCTTCCTCCACCCGAGACGTCTGGAGGTGCCAGTTGCCAGTGCCCCGAATCATGGAGCCTACGCTGCACCACAGCGAAGAGCGAATCAGCCCTGCAACTTGGGGCTCGCACGGCTGTCGGCGGCATGGGTCTCTGCCGCATCGCCTTCCACAGCAAACTCAAGAGAGGCTCAGCGTGGGGTGACAAAAGCCAGTTGCAAGGTCTCTTTGTCTTATCGGAGTCTGGATAAGCTTCATCCACATCGAGAAATCGACGCTCCAATGAGGTCTCTGCATGGTGCTTCGGCAGCTGCAGAATGTCCATGTTGTGGCACCCGGCGGCAACACAACTAACACTGCTGATGCTCTCCGCATCTTGCGGCACCCTCGCCTGGCACCTTCTTCATGCCCTCTTCACACTCTTGCGTACCTGTAGCTGAGAGGCGCTGAAGCTCACTACGAACCCGAAGGTTGACGGAGTGAGAGGGACGTAAAGACTCTTTATAGTGCAAGCAACGCCGCAGTGGCAAACATTTTGGATTTTGAAGGTTGAGCTTGCTGGTTCGTGCGCAGCATCCCTTACAGAAGCAAATTCACACCCGCAGCCTTCAGGACTCCAGGATCCGAAGCATTGAAAGACCCTACAGTCGAGAGGTTGCGAGCTACAGCATGGCAGGCTGCTACTGCTACTGTCTGTCAGAGCTCCTTCCAACGAATCCCCACCGCACTCCAACTGACCGCGTCGATGGAGCTCTTATGCCCTGCTGCCCTGCCAGAACAACTCCAAGAAGCCAAACCTCTGCGACCTCCCTGTGGGAATCGCCCAAACACCCGCACCCCCCCCATCTGTCCACAGCGAGAGAGCAGCCTTCAGCAAGCTCCTGGCGCAGCTTCTGAACCTCCAGTCAGGGCTCTCGATCACAAGGGAAGTGATCGTTTGGGGCTTGGCTACACTGTCCGAAAGTTCAATACAAGTCTGACATCGTTGTAGCATGATTCCAGTACAAGAAACTCGCCAAAGCTGCTGCACGACGGCCCGGCTGGATTTTTGGAAGGGCCCAAGTTCGGGTTCTAGCAAAAGAAATTCGACTCGACTCGCCCCAAAGCCTCGGCCGCACGGAGACCATCGCGGAGCTCGTCTGCACCGGTGAGAGCCGTACCTGCATGGCCCACGCGAAATCCGTCGGCCGAAGTTAACGTGCAGTCGGAAGATTACAAAATCAAAAGTATCAAAGCTAGTTCCCCAGGAAGTCTCGACATGAAAGGACGCCTGGAATCACTCGCTTCCTGCGCAAATCCCATCTGATTACTGTATACTGCCGTTGCATCCATCACAAGTTTCGGCCTTTTCTGGCGATCTTGGCTTGACCAAGACTCCATATCAGGTTCTATAACAGCTCTCGCCGACTGCCTGCGTTCTAAGGGCTGCAAGGCAGGCCGCAGTTAAATCTTGGCAAGCCATGCCCCCTCTGAGGGCAGAGCTTTTAAGGTGTCTCCTAAACTACGGACAAAAAGTGCTATGCAGGGCCAAAACGACCAAGTATCGGCTGCCTAGGACCTCATTTCGAGGTAGACCTGACACTCTGACAGGTTCTTGGTTTAGGCTTTAGGGGTGATGGTCTGATATTTGCCCTACAACTCAAGCGCAACTCCTTTGTGGCATTTGCCCTGGTAGTGCTTCAGGTCCTGCGGTGCACGCGGACGCAAGGTTTGATGGGTGACAGGCTGCAAACGCTGTTTAATGCAGAGGTGCAAATTTGCTGCGGGCATCGGATTCGGAGAATGTTTAAGGAGTTGCTCTTTGAATTCTAGCTGCACAGAGTTGTGGCCGCATAGTCGTTGCGGTGGCTGACCTACGGTTCCAGCCATGAGCCAACATTAGACATTCAAACATCTCCTGTGTGTTGCAAAGGGTCCTTCAGCGTCATGTTGCTCAGGAGGGTGGTGACGTGGAGCGGTCGAATGTTGCATGCATCTTTCGGGTCGCAGAGTAGCTTGTCGAAGACCCCTTTCAAAGCCGCCTGGGCAAGGGAACAGCAAAACGGGGCAGCGGCTCACAAACGTCTCAAACCAAACACAGAAAGCCGAAATCCTGGCGTCAGCGCCCCGATCCACAAAGCATGCAGGGGATAAAAAAAGCACGAAGACAAGCAAAATCACATATACTTATGATACTCACGTATGTGTGCAGATCTTCAGAAACTGCCCCTGCGTGCATACATACCTACGATGACGTACATGTATCTTCACAGCATACCCGCTGCCTTACTGAGCATCTTGGGCAGAAAGCCTTACAAGCCTTAAGGCTTTAATCTTCCCCCTCTACTTGCTCGTCCTCCTCGTCCTCTAAGTTTCATAAGACCGGCCTTGTAGTTCAGGTAGCCCGAAAGAGCGATGTCACCCAGCTCCGCATCCACGCCAGAGTCCTCCACGATCCTGGGGGCTGCTTTGGCTGCGTGGATGGCGCTCACACTCGGAGACTCTGCGCAAGGCAAGTTCGCGGCAGTCTTCGGGCCATTGGCGATGATATATCTCTGAACCGAAACCCACACCCTTCCACACCATTTGGCATTATGACTTCCGTGGTCATGACCGCAAGTGCTGCAATGGTTGCTGTTGTTTAGGCAAGTGTATAGGTCTCACACTGGGACTCGCCGGTTGAGGTCGCTCCGCGGCGGCAACACGACAGCAGAAGTAGGTGTCTTTTTTTCGCGGGTTCTGCGCCTCCTAGCCTGAGGGGTGTAATACACGGGTGCAGGGGGTGCCGGAGCAGCCAGGCCACTGCGCTTGTAGCTCGCGCTCGATGTTCAGCGTCATTGGCGCCTGGGCCATTGCTTGGAGCAAATCGAGACCCAACTGACCTGTTTGAATTGAGGCCAGGGCTACGGTGCCCAGTCTCTAACTCTTTCTCCCTCTCTCTCTCTCTGACTTTCCTTGTGAGAACGAAGACCGGGGTGCAACACACACCGGCGAAGCCTGCCGCTGCTGTTTGCTATACCTGTTTAGACACCAACCTAAGTCTAATCTCTCTCTCTCTCTCTCTCTCGTTCGCAGGCTACTGTACAGCAGCCCTGTAGAAGCCCACTCTAAACCTTCAGTCTGCTCGAAAGTCTGGCAGGCATCGGCCCTGTCACGTGCGATCAAGAGACATGGTCTGGACCATAGGTGTGCTCGTGACTTCGGACCAAGCCTCTGCCGAAAGCCTGCAAGGAGCTCTCTGTGTGGCTCTGTGGCCTTGTGACACACTGAAGATGGCAGCTGTGCCCACCCGGCCTCAACGCACACCATCTCGAAAGCGAGGGATTTCAGACGGTTCCCAGGCCTTGCTGCACAGTGCTCTGAAAGGAAACCCGCGCGATCCAAAGCCTGCTGGCGAGTGACTCGCCCTGCCGCAGCTTCTCGAAGGCCACGTCTTTCGGCTGGCCCTTGAGCCTCGGCGGAGAGGGACGACGGGCCTCTTTCCTCCATCCCCAGGCTACATCTTCGAATTTCGCCCAAGGTGCATCCATTGAGACCCCTCCGGCGAGCTGATGTCCCTGAGCCTTAGGAATAGTCGGTGGGCTGTAACACAACTCGCGGAGCGACAGCTCGCAAGGTTTCAGAACGCTTCTTAAAGGGCCGGTGTGGTTAGTAAATGAATAACAGATTTGATATAGTTACCTATCTCTTGTATGTTAAGTTATAAATGAAGTAAGTCTGGTTATAAGTTCAGCAACTATGCTATGTGGAGAGGTATAACTTACTAAGTGTTGAGGTCAAGATAGTAAGTAGTGTAAGTGAATAAGAGACTTATATATGTTATAGGTGTGAGTTAATAAGTGACTTACAGTAACTCAGGTAAGTAACTTAGGTGACTTAGGTATTCGTTTGTAAGTCAGATAATAAGTTGAATAAGTTGACATGGTCTCTGGCCAGGAGATGATGGGAAGGATGTTTTTCTGCACGTCCAATGAAGTTGGAAGCTTTCTTTGCATGTGAGAAAAATGATGCGAACCTTTCTTGCTGTGCTCAGAGCATGCATGCATATGAGAAAATGATGCAAACCTTTCTTGCTGTGCTCAGAGCAATGCATGCAGGCAGGCATGCTTCCCATATACGCTTTGCAGGGCCACCGGCTCGCAAGCAGTGTGTGCATGCTGTTGCTCAAGCTGAGTTTTGAGTTTGCTGGATCCTTGCAGCCTTGCTTCGGTGATCTTCGGTGCCATCGACATGTCCCTTTCGCACGAAGTGAAGGTGCAGCTGCAGTCCTTTCTGGAGGAAGCTGCCGACGGAGAGAAAATGGTTAAAGTGGTTGAAGCCACCTTGGACTTGCTCAGGAAGAACCACCTGCTGTCGACCATGAAGCTGGAGCCCAAGCTGGTGGGGGTTCACCCCAGTAACCGAGACGGTTACGGGGTGAACCCCCAGGACGTGCTGGACCTTGTGGACAGCATCATCGATGTGGGGTTCGTGAAAGGCCGAGTGCATGCCGTAGGCGTGGAAGTTGAAAGCCAGCACGTGAGGGACTGGAACTCCAATCTCTTCGCTTCGGCCAACGGGGGCCTCGGCTCCATGGAGCCGGATCTCCTCAAGGTGACCAGCATCTGCGGCTCTCACACCAACTCGGGCCTTGCGACTTTTCCGCGATGCCGTGCCACACTCCAACGAGCTCGTGTGTACCGGGGGGCGATTGAGCATGGAGATGCTGAAAACTCGCGATCCTGCTTTCCACGAAGCCGCGACTGAAGGCTTGTCGTGGGATGTAATCTCTGCAGCCGTCGCCCGCGAGGTGCCCGAAATCCTCGAACCGGTCTCCAGGTCGGGCAACACCTCCCTGCAGAGGGGGGAGCATGAACTCCAAGTCCTTCGCTGAATTCATGGCCTCTACTGTAAGATGCAGGCTTCGGGCCAGACCCCCTCGTTTGCTTCTCTGAAGAAGCAGATATTGGCTTCGAAACCGAAGTGCGGGGTATCCGTCCCTCACATGTACTCCTACTGCCTGAAGTGCAGCGGGGGCCAAGAGGCCGTACATCTCAAAGAAACGGAGCTCTTTGTGCGGGCATGCTGCCCTTCCTCAAGACAGCTGGGGCCGGATCTCTGGCAGGCTTTGGCCATGGAGATCAAGGGGCACAGCTCCGAGGCCGTTGCTTGTTTTTGCAACGGCCTGGTCAAGTCGGCATATGTGCGGCAAAACGTCTCTGTGGGGGACTGCCGGAAGCTCGCTGCGAACTTCACGAAGGTGAAAGAAGCAGACGAGGTCATGTTGGCTGTGCGGGCCATGCTAACAGAGCAACTCGGGGAGTGGAAGGATGCCGGCCTGGTGAAGGCCCTTGCAACCATGGACATGTGCATGTGCGGCATGGTCCTTGGCTTGAAGCAGAAGGGCGAGAAGGACTACACGACCTTGCAGGCCGTGGCCCATGATTTCTGCCTTGTGGCCCAGGAGCTCACTGGGAGGACCCTTCCCTTGAAATGGCAAGGCTTCGCCGAGGCAACAGCAGCACCTGCAGCGGCAAAGGCATCGTCGTCGAGTGCACCGGTGCTGCTTGAGTTGGATGAGCATGGTGCAATCAAGAATCCGTTGGGTTTGCTGGAATCCCGAGGCTATGCATTGGGCAGCAATGTGAGGAGGCGAGCTGACAAGACCACTGGCAAGATCCAAGATGTGAAAGGCGGCCTTGTGTACATCCAGTTGGACTCCGGCGACGTCGCGAAGGAATCCATTGACAAGATTCTGGGCAACGAGTGGGCCGTCTTCACCCCCAAAAGTGAGGCAGAGGTACTGGAAGATTTGAGCATCTACAGCCCTTCAACGACTGTTGAGCTCCAGGCCTTCATGCTCCAGGCAGAGATCGCGAGGCAGCTTCAGAAACTTTTTGATGAACAGTCCTCTGGCATCGACAAGCTTGCCTTGCAAACGAAGCCCCAGAAGCAGCTTCAGGCCTCGCAGGACATCCCCAAGGGAAAGGTGACATTGGTGCCATTGACGAGCAAGACCCTCCACAAGGGCTCCAGCCAAGCGAGCTGGTTCGAGGTGACGACGGACTGGACGATGGATGCGAGGAAGTTCTACCTGAGCTCCTCTTGTGTGCTGCCCAAGGAAGATGATGACAAGATCAAGCCTCTCATAGTCCCCCCGTTTTTCTTCGTGAACTACACAGAGGACGAGGACGAGGCCAACGTGAAGTTGCAGCCCATGCAAGCAGAAAAGTCTTCCTCCATCAAGATCCCCGTCTTCAAAAGCACCAAGAAGATTGCTGCCGGGGAGGTCGTTTTGTCCTTTAAGGCCAAGGACCTTAAAGCTCCACCCCTCCACCTCTCCCCCAGTGCGGCGAAGCGATCGTCGTCCGGCGGAGTGGCAGTTGCAGCGAAGAAGAAAGCGAAGAAGTGAGAGGCATGTGATTTCTATATATGCATCATGTGCCCATGTGGATGCCAGCGGTTTTGCTTTCGCTTGGCATTGGAACGAAGGCCCACCCGGGCACAGCCTCATATGGCAACCTGACAGCATGATCAGGCGCTTTTCAGGCTGCAGGGTGGCACGATCGGCATAAGCAGAGGTCCAGCTGCATTGGTTCACAGAAATTGCGGTGCTTGAGCATGTTTGTTTTCTCTTGACAGTTGCATGCAAGCCTTGATTCAGTGCAGCATCGAATGCATTGTTGCAGCAGTGCATGCAGGTTTTGCACTTGAGTTGTGCTGGAGCCGCCTCAGCAGGGCAACTTTGCTCGCTTGGCAGGCTTTGCATCTCAAGGACAGACACAGTGAGAAGCTGTTGAGTCGCCATGGCAGAGGATCCAACTTTCGAAGTGGAGACTCGCAAGATCATCTTTTTCGGCAAGCATGAGTGGTGCCCCACTCAGAAAATAGTCGAGGAGCGGACCTTTTTCTCCTTCACGAAGTGGTCTGCACAGCTGACTCGCATGATGACCGGCAAGCGACTTCAGCTTGGGGGTGGGCGGGCTGCAGAAAGTGGTTCCTTGAACGTGCCAGTGATCGGCAAGATCTTGGAAGCCCGGCAGTCGGCCTGCGACAAAGCCCTTGAGGAAGCTCTGAAAGTCGAGGATGGGTCGGGCGACGAGGATGAGAAGCCGAAGAAGAAAGCCAAGAAAACCATTCGAAGGTCATCGGCCAAGGACCTCCACCTCCTTCCTGAAATAGTGGACGTTTCGGTGGCTGAATTCCAGATGTCCTTGCTTTCGGAGGGGCTGTCGACTGGAACGATCTGGATGGAGCTCCGTCCCGAAAACCTCTCCTGGCTCAAGTCTTGTGTCGACAAGGAAGAGGCAAAGCCTCGTCAGAAGAAGGGGGAGGCCAAGCCAAAGCAGTGATGCCATCATGCTGTCCGGGAGGTTCAGAGAACCTTATACATGTGGCAAGTTTTGTGCAATCTGCCATGTTTCAAAAACCCTTTTGCATGCACTACATTTGTGCTTGCAGTGTACAATGATGACGATGAAAAGTTCATGGGCAGGGTGGGTTCTGAAACCTGCTGGCGAGCTTGCAGCCCTGCCTGCGGTGCGACACACGAGCTTGCAAGTCAGTCTCTGTGTGTGTCCGTGTGTGTGTGTGTGCAGTGTGTGTGTGTGTGTGTGTGTCTGTGTGTGTGTTTCTGTGTCTCTGCAGCATGCAGTGGCAGGTTGCCTTTCCGTTTGCAAGGTCATGCACTGCACATGTGCGGTTTTTTTCTTGAGCTGTGATCATCAGCTGCTTTTCAGCTCAAGTTGTTTGCCTCCCACGGGAGGCTGGGTCCTGTTTTGCCATGCTGGCTTTCGGCTTTTTGGATGGCCACCTGCCAACGGCGGAGGAGGCCATGGAAAGAGGGATGCACGAGCTCTTTTTGTTTCTGTGCTTGCAATGAAGGCGGAGAGCTTCGAAGCCTGCGGCCTCATGGAGCCGTTCACGAACAAGGCCAAGGGCAAGTGGTACAACGACAAAGGCGGGTTTGCCCAGCCTTTTGCAGAGATACGGAGTTAACAGACAAAACCATGCAGGAGCCGGGATCAGCTGGTCCGCCACCATGGGGTGGAAGGTCCTGGGTGCTGGAGGTGCCATGGGCTCTCACATGGGTTTCGGGGTTGCAGGGCTGAGGGATTCTTGCATGAACTGGCAGGAGAGATCTTGTGGACCCACCCGGAGAAGCAGCGGGAGGATGTGCCGACCAGTGGCTGGGTCTACTGGGACGGCACACCCGGTGCGATCTGTGTGGAAGGCACATCTTAAGATGACTATATAATAGTATATATATATATATATATAGATATGTGTCTTTACATGTATATATGTATAAATGTGTATATATACATATATATATATATATATGTATGCATATATATATACATATATATATATATATATATATATGTATATATACATGTATATGTATATATGTATATATATATATATATATATATACATATAATATGTATACCATATCATAAATCACTCTATACAATAACTGCAAATAGAATCTATATAGATCGACACTATAGATGAATATAAACCCTAAACCGAAACCCATATAAACCAAAACCCTTATATAAACCCCTGAAAAAAACCCTAAACCCAATATCAACCCTAAACCTATACATACCTCTGGGCAGGCCACGAGGACTCCCCAGTCTACGACATGGTGGAGGTGGATGATGAGGAGGAGGGGGATGCAGGCCGTGCAGGGTTTTCGCCTCCTGCCCTCCTTGCATATGTGTTTTGCATGGCATGTGAAGGCGGGAAAGCCGCCGTGGTGCTCAAGCCCACCCCGAAGATCAAGGCCTGCAAGCGAGGTTCTGGAGTTTCTTATTGGTATAAAAATATGTGCCATCTAAATCTCCTTGGGCAGGACAACAAGAAGCGGCCCATGGAGCCGAAGGATCCGCCGCCAAAGAGGACGAAGGCTGGAACTATATAATGATTAAAAGGTTTGGCTTGAGTTTGAAAGTACATCCTGTCTATACATATATAGATAGGATGACATTGGATCTTAGATTAAATTAGATTAGGTTGCTTGGGTGAAATTAAATGAGTATATACATTAGGTTATATAAAGATTATACATAAGTATAGGTATGTAGCAGCTTACCAAGCTTTTAGGTTAAGTTAGATATAGTTTGGATTAGAGTATATAAGATATAGATGAAAAAATACACAGGTGTTTGTATACATCCTGTGTACATATATATTTAATATACATATATATATATATATATATATATATATATAAATATATTGTAGATATCTAGAAAGGATCGCAGGCAGGGCTTCTAGCTCGCCGGCAGGCTTCCTATATAAATCTTAAATATCATAAAAGCCCTGTATAGAAACCCCCGACGGCTGGAATGCCTTCGTGTGCGGTAATTTGTGTCACTTCATTACAGGAACAAAATGTTGAGCATAGGTGCACTTTGGCATGTCCGGGCGGGCGATAGGGGGCACAGCTCAAAAGCTGGCGCTTTCTTATTGGATAGGAATACTTTGATAAGATGTTGGGTTTCTGGATAGATATATAGGTGGGGAGCCTGCCAGCATGCTCTGTCTCTGACATGATTATACAGTGTCTGAGAGAACACTGTACTGTCAGGGGCACGGCAAGATCGCCCACGAGGAGGCTCGGGCCCAATTCTTCAGCAAGCCCGTCCCAACAAATAAAAGTGATTCTGCAGCAGGACGACCAGGATGGATGGAGCCAGGCCGGCATTTCTTCTTGGCTTGGAAGCATGCAGGGTTCTGTGTGCCACGGCAGGACGGCAAGTGGAAAGGAGGCGGAAGCTCCAGTGCAGCAGGTGCACCGAAACCGATTCATTGTGAAACCCCTGCCCTTGCAAGCCTTCTTTGTTCATTTGGACAGGATGGAAGAAGCCCGTGCCGACCAAGGGCAGAGGCAGGTGTTTGGGGAGTCGAGGTCAGCCGGCTTTTATATTCTGCCGACAACAGGCAGCTTCGAGCGGCCTTCCTCGAAGGGCGGCCACTACGTGATGGCCCACTACGTGGACGAAAGCGGCAAGGCCGGAAGCATTGCCACTGCAGTGGGCCGGATCGTTCGTTCCAGCCTGGCAGGCTTGCCCGCCAGGGGCAGGGCGGACCCGTGGCCGGACACGTGGTGGAGCCGCGGTCCGCTTGATCGAGGCTCGCCAGCAGGCGAAGGACAGCACCCAGCACTTGGAGGACACCCTTCTATAATCCCAACAAAGCATCGCCAACAACCCACCCCCCCACAAAATAAAGCATTTTGCCAGGACCTGCGAACCTCGGTCTCGACGATGCACCTCATGGCGAAAAGCATGGAGAGGTTGCAGAAGGAGTGCCGCCGTAGAGCACCATGGTTGTTTCTGGGTATTCCTCTGACAAGCCTGCTTCAGGACCGCCAGGGGTGACAGCCCGGACGGTTCCGTCCTTGGCTGTGCCCGTGGGTTCGGTGCGGTTTTCCTGTCTGGCGGTCCCAGGTGCTGGGACAGCATCGACTGTGGTGGCTGTGCACAGAGGCTTCTGCCTTGGCTGACGAGTGTGGTGCAGTTGCAGTGGTTGTGTTGGTTGCTGGCCGTGGTTATCCTGACTCGATGCAGGTGCCGCCACAGCTTCCCGGAGCTCTGAAATTGGGGGCAACAGGTCCAATGGCATCCCTTCGGGTAGTTGGCCAGGTTTATGCATGAATAAACCTTCGGAGCTAAAAAGTAGCTAAGGTTTATCCATAAATAAATTTTGGGGGCTTTAAGGCCTTACTTCTATACCAGAAATATTCGCGGATAAACTTTTCTAGCTTCGAGGCTGCCGGGGTTTATTCATGCATAAACCTGGTGGTTTCTGCCACGTAGCTTGGCTGCTCTGCATTGATGCAACATAACACACTGGCCTTGTGATCTAGCTTCTGCTGAAGACACTTGTGTTGCTGCAGCCGGAATGCATAGACGTGTCCGACCTCCCAACTGCAGGGGCCAGGCTATCGTGCTAGGGTAACACACGAAGCTCTTAGGCACCTTCTGGGCTGCTGCATATACAGTCATACACAAGCTGTTAGGCACCTTCTGGGCTCCTGCATATACAGTCATACACATAGCCGTGCCCGGCCTCTGCAACTTGTTGCTTTCTGCAGCTGATGCTGCTGCCGACCAACCACACAAGTGATCGGGTGCCCTGGGCACGAAAACAAGTCCTGTGCGGATAGACTTCCGGTGCAGTGTGTCGGTGTGTCTGTGTGTGTGTGTGTGTGTGTGTCTGTGTTTGTCTCTCTGTCTCTGTGGTCTGTCAGCAGAATATACTATTATATATTATACTACATGACAATGCTATACTCCTATAGTATAGTCTACAGAATATATTCTACATTGTATACTATAATGCACTATACTGTATATACTACTATACCACGATATTATATATTACTATATAATGTATTACGACCCTGGTATATTATCTATTCTTTTATATTACATACATCAACAACAGCGACAACAGCAACAACAGGACCACCGAGACAACCACCAGGCACCAACAACAAGAAAGCACCACAGCCACAGCAACAACAGCAGTCAGAACAACCACGGAAGCAATAACACAACCGTGTGTTTCAGCCTCCCACGTGCACTGGCTCTGCACCTGTGCTTCTGCCTGCTGGCGAGCTGACAGCCCTGCCTGCGACTTTGGAGGCTCCAGTGCAAGGATGACGAAAGCCCACAACAAAATAGGTAGAACATCCGAGAGCTTTGGCTCTGCTGCACGGAAATCAGTCTGTGGATGCCAGATAGTTACGATGTTCTTCGCCACTAGCTGGTTGCGAAAACTGCAGACCGAGAATCTGCAGACGTGGAGCCTGGAAACCGAAGATCGGGAACGTGTGCTGGAGTGGCTCGTGCTAGGCATTGTTGGAAGCACCATCTACAAAGACGAAGGTGTCTGGATGTCCATCATGGCCGTGGACTCGTGCCACGATGCTGTGCTGGTCCGTGACCACGAGAGCTCCTGTTACATAGCAGTGCAGCTCCAGAGACTTTTTGCTGGTTCACTAGGAACAATGGATTGACTTGTGCTGCGATTCAAAGAAAGCCGTCTGTGCATCATGGCATTTCATGAGTGATTTCTGCTGTGCACTGTAGACTGTCATGCATTAATAGGTCGCAGCAAGCATGGTCAGCTTATCAGTTGTGTCTCGCTTGCAGGGCATTTTGCTCGCAAGCAGAGCACACAACTTCGAAGCCGCACCTTTTATCGTAATCATGGCCGTGGTCGCTCGTCCGGACGTACAACAACTGGAAGCGGCATGGAGCGAGCCCAATCAGCTTGTGCCGGGGAACGAGAAGTTCGAGCCTTTGGGATTGCTGAAATGCTATCGTGTATATGTAGGACACGATTATTTTCCGCATCAGGGATATGCTTGTTACTTGTCGAGGGAGCTGGGCCAGGGAGCTCGCCTTTGGAGATGCGAGCGAGGTGGCCTCCTCAAGTGGATGGTCACTCGGCCTGCTGAGGTCCGGGCCGTGGCAGTGTCCTTGACCGGCCGGCTGAGGTTTGGGATTCTGGTTGTCCAGGCCCGGATGCTCTCCGGAGCACAAGTCTGGTCCGGCACGTACCCGGCCGAGCAAGACGTGAAAGTGTCGGCTGTGAGCACCGCCATCCGGCACAGCATGCTGGTGGCTGGTCGCATCCAGTCGACACACGTGTTGAAGGTCATGGGCCACAAGCTCCTTGTCCACGGCCGCAAGATTTGGAGCTGCAACTGGTCCAAGACCATGGCAGCCAAGAAGCTGCCCAAGAAACGGCTTTTTCGAAAGACGGATCCGAGGTTTCTCCGTCTGGCCCAGTCCGTGCCACTGTTTTGATTCTTGAATGAGGAGAGGAAAGATCGAGTGCTCAGTGTGCAGGTTGTGTCACTACATACATGTATATGCATGGTTGTCGTGCAAGAAATGCATGCAGGAATCCTGAGTTGTTCGCAGGCAGGGCTTTCCTAGCTCGCCACAGCAGGACAACTTTTCAGGGATTCCTGCTTTCCTCTCGCCATGGCAGCCGCCTTCTTGAACCAGCTCCATGACATGCTCCACAAGCAGAAGCCGATCATGGGCGATCACTTCGACGGCATGCTTGCTGCACAGAAAGACTGTGCCGTGCGAGCCATCTCCCAACACAAAGTGACCATGCAAGAGGCCTCTGAGCTGTGCAGCTTGATCCAGCAAGTGCCCTGGAACGAGAGCCAGAAAAAGGAGCTTGGAAAAGCAGTCTCCAACTCCGTCTCGTCGGGGATGATGGCTGCTGGCAAGAAGAAGAAGGGCAACCAGACCCAGGAAGTCGACAACTTCTTCTGCTTTTTGTCAGCTGAAGACAAGCAAGTCCTGGCCGAGGCCAGTGCTGGAGTGCACTCAAGGTGCAATCACATCGCCGAGATCATGGAGAAGATGGGCATGTATTGGCCATCGGAGAAGGCGACAGGTCATATCGTCTCAACGATGGCAACAATGCAGTCAGCTGGCCTTGAGTCTCCTGATGATTTTCACGGGGCTGTGAAGAAGCTGAAAACCATCATCAAAAGCAGGCTCAAAAAGAACAAGGATGCCAAGGACAACGAATTTGTGGCCGTGTACAAGGAGCCAGCTTTGTTGCCCGAGATCTACCGCAGTCACTTTGAAAAGGCTGAAGCAGGCGAGCTCCCTGCTTCGAGCCTTGTTGCCCATGGTCCTCTGCGAGGCAGTCACAAGTCCCTCAGCAGCAGCAGCAACATCGTTGGCAACAACATGATGAATCACAGCCTGATGAAGAAGATGATGGCCGACGGCAACGGCATGAGCATGATGGGACTGATGAGCTGCATGTCGACATGCATGCAGCAGTTTCAGCAGCAGTCCAGCAGCTCGCAACTGCCAGGCTTCAAGTTGTTGGGAAAAGCCGGCTGCAACGAAACCAGTCCAAATCGGGCTACAAGCATGATGGCGACGACGAGCCCACCGCACGACTCTCCAGAGTCCAGCCATCGTGTTTCAAGCCCGGTGCAGCCTCATCATCAGCAGCTTGCTGTGGCCGCCAGCCCGGTGCAGCCTCATCAGCAGCAGCTTGCTGTGGCCGCATGCCCGGTGCAGCCTCACGATCAGCAGCTTGCTGTGCCCAAGGCTGGGCAGGAGCCTGTGGGTCCGGCCGAGCAGGCTCGTCAGATGCTTGCTGCATGGAATGCCAACAAAACACCAGCAGAGGGAGATGAGGAAGATGAGGAGACTGAGAAGCCCCGGAAAAAGCCTGCCGCAAAGCTCCAGCAGACGAAGAGTGTGCAGCCGAAGAAGAAGCCGGCAGCGAAGGCGAAGTCGCAGTCCCAGCCCAAGCCGGGCATCAAGATTCCGAGCATGAGCAAGAGGTTGAAATTGCGACCCAACGGCTGCGGCAAATGCCGCAACCGACCGGGCTGTTGTCCGTCGTGCTTCAAGAAGTGATTTTGGTTGGCATGAAGACATGACATGTGTCTCTGTATGCGAAGTGTGCAGTCTATATCTATGTAGATGTATATACAGTCTATATAGGAACATGTATGCATGTCTATATGCCTTTCTTGCAGACTGTACAG